CAAAGGAAAAGAGGGAGACCGTGGGGGGAGTGGGGGGGGGGTTGAGGGATGCAGATAGACGCAGAGGTCGTTGGAGGGACCTGATGGGTGAAGTGAGACACGTTTGGTTTAATGGCAAGTCCCTGGGGGAGGTGACAGGCGGTGGGATCCCGTCTGTGACCCCGGGAATAAAGTTTATTACACGCAGGGCTTGGATGTGTCATGGCGTCCTGCGCTGCCCGAGGTTTACTGCGTTGGACGGGGCACAGAGTCGCTCAGGCACACAGGACACTTAGCTTTGCCAACAGCGACTTGCCATGGGTCACCGTTTGCTAAATCTGTCTCCCTGGGACTCCTGCTAATTCTGGGTTTAGAGTGAACTTATTTTGAATAATTGGAGTCTCTTAAGCAATAGGCATAAACACAAGCTCTACTTTTTCTAAACTACCTCTTGTTATAATCTGGGGTCCACAATCCCAGCTTCAGATCATCCCACACTGCAAAGCGGGGCTTGTGGCAGCTTTGTTTCTTTCAGTTTCCCTAAAAGCAATGTCTTCAGTTTGACTTAATGCACGAAAACCTCAGAACCCTGCACTCGGAAAGATGGAGATCTCTGTTTATGTGGAATTTCGACCTGGTTGTGAAACCTGTCCTCTCAGAAGGTGTGAATTCTACACGAAAAAATACATATAAATAAGTAAATAAAGATGAGAAATAGCGTGGAGACCAACTGAGGAGAGGGTCTGCATGGAGGGTGGTCTCTGCACATAGGTTCAAATGCACTAACCTGGGGTTGGTGCTTAAACTTGATTCTTGGGCTGAAAATTTTAAGTGAGGCTTTTATGCTTGGATATGCCAGACGCCCAGTGCCTGAACCCCCTTTCTCTTCCAGGACTAAGTCTGGTCCTGAACACAGAAGCCTGTTTGCGGTCCTGGGTCACACTGTCCCACACTAGGACACACATGTCCTGCATACTAACATGGTCAAGCTGGCTGCTAATGAAAAGCCAAATTTTTTATATCTGACTCATATTTCCTGAGTCCCCGTAATGTCAAAGGCTGGGGGTGGGGGTGGGGGGGTGGGGCGGGGAGAAGTGATGGTCAGTTTTCAAATGCCAGTGACACCTCCGTCCTTTGCTGGGAGTCCTAGCACCAAGGATGTCTGAAGGCTGAGTCAGATATATTTTCTTATTATAGACTTTGATTCCTGGTGGTTGTTTATTTTGTGGTTCATTGGAAAATCTTATACTCAATTTGGGTTTGACATAATCAGTTCTCTGCACGGTATGGCCCATTATTTTATGTTACTCCCATGCACTTTGGGCAAAGTCTCTGGGATGAATATCCTAATTATCTCCCCAACCCAGGTCATCAGGAGGATGGGGAGCTTCACAAGAGGGAATGAACAGGCAGATCTTCTGACACTGGGATTTTCTATTGTCTGGGGCCACCGTGCTGTTAGCCAGGCAGACAGGTGTTGCTGCAGGCTTGGCAGAGAGGAAGAGAAGGGTAGGCAGGGGTGTGAAGGGTGTGGGGGAAGGGGGTTCCTCAGTGAAGCCCTCACACAGATGCATTTGGTTGGCTTCAGGAACCCTAGAGCAGTAGACTGGCCCAAAGGGAGGCAGCCAGAGGCTCCACAATGGGTGTGGCATGGCTCTGCTTTCAGAGCCTGCAGGCTTTCCATCTAGAAAAAGACAACCAAGTGAATTATCCTCCACTGTGCTCTGCGTCAGCACCCAGCCCTTTGCTGAGACCCATGGGGTCAATTCCCAGATCACTGGGCCTCCCGCTCTGCCCACGCTAAGCCCTCAGGGTCTAGCCACTCACTCACACTTCAACAATCCAGAGCATCTCTCTGCTCAAGGAGCAGGCCATGTCCTCTGGGACTTGATGTCCCCTTTGGGGATTAGTGGTCTGTTGACCGGGGCTCAGTTATAGCCAACCTGGTAACCTCCCTGCCCCTTCCCCACCCAGCCTGGAAGACCCTCCCACCAGAGGCCTTGGGGCTCCCCGCGTTCACTCCTGAACGTCCATCTGCAGGCTGCCAAGGCACCCGGTGAGCAGTGACACCTCAGGCGATCGCTGTTACTGTCGCACACCTACCTGCCTGAGACCGTGAACTTCTCACCTCTGCGTCCCGAGCACCAAGACCCTGAGCACAGAGCAGGCACTCAAGCCCTTTTCACCAGCACCATTTTAAGCAGATTAAAACCTTTCTAGGCACTGGGAAAATTTAAGCATTTGGGTAGGATGCCCTCAAATATGTCTTATATAGATTTTGGTATTTAGAAATAAAATGGCACACTGATTACAAAGTGTTTGAGGTAGAGACAGAGGCATGACAAATACAAGCACATCCTGTTGCATTGTATTGTTGAACCTGCCATGCATCCTAGCCACACGGCCTCCTGGGCCACAAGTGCTGGTCTCAGACACAGAGAACACTTCTCCCTGGTGGCCTGTCATGGCCACACACTGAGCCTAGGTCCCTGGGAGAGGGCCCCTCAGGCTGCACAGGAGCTGAGGCCGTCCTGCCAGAGTCTTGCAAAGACAACTTCTAAAACACTTAGGATGTTTTTTTTTTTTTTTCCCCTTGGGGAATCCATGAGAAAATTTCAAAGGGAAAATCTGGAGTCTCTTATTGCCACGGTTATGAGGAAGAGAAGACTCAGAGCTCAATGCAGAAGACCTGCGGCTCCGGAAGGGGAGACACTAGCTGGCCGTGTTACATTTTCCTTGGCTTTGGAGCCTCTGAAAGCACACGGTTATATGGGAAGCAAACGTTTTCTTTGGCGGTCAAGGCCCTCTGTGGTTAATGCATGTATCGACGTGGCTTTAGCTTAGACTGTTCACATTCACATGACAAAAGAAGGCCCAGTGCAGAGCCACCCGGCCCTGGCCTGGAGAATGCTCAGAATCAATGGTTTTACTCTAAAAACCTCACAGAGATGCCAGCTCTTTTAAGACAGATTTCTGGTTTAAATTCTCTTGCCCTGCAGGCATCTTGAAGAGTTGGCCGTGCTGTGCGCTTGGCAGAGAATGGGCTGTGCTGTCGGCTGGAGCTGGGTCTGGATTCCCCCGCAGTGACCCCCGCGTACACGTAGGTTATTGAATCCACCTGCTATGGCCCAGCTGTCCTTCCACGGGACTGGATAACAAGATGTCCCAGGTGTCTGGGGCTGGCTGTGAGAAAGTTGTACGGTGCTCAGAGTGTGCCAGTTATTTCTGCTTCTACTATGGAAATTTCCACCATGAGCGCATTGAAACAAGGACAGCAACCACCACCAGTCGCCACCCCTCACTTCGTGTGAGCCCTGAGAAGATGTAAATTTGGCAAAGCGGAAGCTTCCCGATGGAGCCAGTCCCCAGAAGGTGCCACCTGGCGTCTGTCTCTTGAGCCGGGGCTGGCAGTCAGACCCCACGTGGGCTGTGTGAAGGCCAGCTCTGCCTTCCCAGCAGTCACCGGCGGGCACCCGCTTGGCCTGAGCCTTCTGGTACATTCCCCTTTTCTGAACAATGGACAGTTGTCTGCATCCATGGCCAACCCACTGGAGCCACCCAACTGAGGAAGCGTGAAGGAATATGACCGGGTGGAAGCTGACCTTGAGGTAGACAGGACAGTGGAAGGATTTAAGGTTCTAAGAGCAGCACGGGTGAACATCTCGGGGTCTGAACTGCCTGGGTTAGAATTACTAGGTGTGTGGCACTGGCCATGTGACTTGTTTAGAACATGTTTCACCTTCCTCTTCTGGAAAGTCAGGGTGAGAAGGAAACCCAATGAACAGTTTCTGTTTTGGTTTTAATGACCATATATGAAAAATGCACTCAGAGTGCTTAGAAAGTCACTGGCATACGTGTTCGATAAATATTTGCTGACACAATTCTTACTCTGCAGGGATGACATGCTTTGATGTGGCAAGTGAGAGACGCACTCACAAAACATGAGGGGCACTGAGCAGTGCTTTTGTCATCTTCTGAGACTCCCTCTGGAGTCGCTAACGCCAGGGAGGGGCAAAGCCTTGGAAACGTCAATGTAAAGCAGAGGAATTATGAAATGACACGCAGGGACCGGCGACATGGCGCTGTGGGAGCAATAAGAGAACTCTTCTCTGAAGTCTTTATAGGGGCGCCTGGGTGGCTCAGTCATTAAGCGTCTGCCTTCGGCTCAGGTCATGATCTGAGGATCCTGGGATCGAGCCCTGCCTCGGGCTCCCTGCTCTGCGGGAAGCCTGCTTCTCCCTCTCCCACTCCCCCTGCTTGTGTTCCCTCTCTCACTGTGTCTCTCTCTGTCAAATAAATAAATAAAATCTTTAAAGTCTTTATAAAAGGGGAGCTCAGAGAAGAGAGAAGTCAGGGAAACCAAGGGAGAAAGAGAGGCAGCAAGACCCTCCGGAGCACCTAAAGTGTGGAAAGAAAGCATGCAAGGGTTCTTTTTTTTCTTTGTCCTGGGCCAGGAGCCATGCAGGACTCCGAGCTGAAGGACCCAGGCAGGGACGCGGGGCTTCCGAGAGGTTTGTTACGATCATCCAAGGACTAGTCCAGCCCTTCGGATCTCCCACCTAGAGCACGACACGGGTGGCCTCTCATAAAGGAGGAAACCCCGGGCAACTCTCACTTTAAAGGAGTTCTTCAACAATCCCAACTGTGCCAACAACTTGCACGAGATGCTTCCTTTCTCGAAGGAGCACTGCACAAGTAGATGATAAAGAAAAGCACATGTGGAAAGACATCAGAATGGTGCAGAGCAGAAGCATTTATCCTCCTGAAACTCCCATTCTGTGTGGTGCTAATGGTGGTGAATTACACAGACTCGGAACTCACCAGAATGAACCCTGCAGTTTTAGATCTTGATTCATGGGTTAGAAAAGGCAACACCAGATTCGGGATTTGAAACCGACCTTTCATGACACCATGATTATCACATCTCAATTTGCATACCAAGTTGGCTTAGAGACTATGCAGAAATGATGCTAAGAATTGCAGGCTCCTGCCCATGATTTCGGGACTGGATGCAGACTTACTTGTTAAGGATTTTGGCTCTCTTCGCGCTTGAAAAATTCTCCAGTTGCAAGGACTCCTGAGTGAGGAAAGCGACGGCCAGGTGAAAGTAGTTGTTCCAAAGCTGAAAACCAAAAAAGGGGAGATGCTGAGGTGCTGAACAGCTTAACAGTGGGTCTCAAAATGCTCTGAGGCATTCCTCATTTGCCCCACACACACTTCTGAAATGTTTAGAAATCCACACTCACGCTATGCATGTGGCTAGCCAGCCAGCCACGGTGTGGCTCAGGGCTGGGGTGCGTGCCAAGGTCACAGTGCGCATGCTCAAATTCTACCTCTGCCACTTCCTTGGGCAACTGATCTGACCTCCCGGTGCCTCGGTTTCCTGAGAGGTAAAGGGGGAGTCTTATAGTGCCTGTCTTCTGGGGCTGTCAGAGGATCACAGGAGTGAATATGGGCAGAGGCTTCTGGGGGTGCCAAGCATGCGGAAAGGACACGAGAATGTTGGCTCCTGTTACTAGTGCATCATGGAACCCCTTCTTTAATAGTATATAATTTCTATAATTTACGACTTTTTCAGATACCAAAAATGTACATAAACACTAGATAACTAAGGAAAAGAGTTGTAAAAACATCAAACATTTTATATTTCAAAGACTTACAGATGATATGTGCTTAACAGACAATTTACTATGAAATGACTTTGTTTTAAATTTCTGCACTGTGGAAGCTCTGTCTACTTAAACACGGTAACCTAGACGCGCCGTTATAAAAATGTCATTATGGAGGTGCCTGGGTAGCTCAGTGGGTTGAGCGTCCAACTCTTGGTCAGGGCTCAGGTCGTGATCTCAGCATCCCGAGATCGAGCCCTGCGTCGGGCTCCATGTTCACGGGGAGTCTGCTTGAGATTCTCTCCCTCTCCCTCTCCCTCTGCCCCTCCCCACTAAAATAAATAAATTAATTAATTAATTAAATAAAAACATCATATGCATAGATTCCTAAAGTCACGGAACTAATACCCCTGGTTATGTCAATGTTTATGACCAGGTCAAGAACATCAAATGCAGGAAGAATTCTTGGATCACCAATGGGAATGATTTGGACATACTCCTGGCCTTTACACATAACTCCTACACCCACCGTGCTTGCGTACCAGGGGACGGTCTGGGGGGCTTCCACCTGCTCCCGGAGGGAAAGAGCCTGGACAGAGTTCCCATCACACATCCAAGCTCAAAAGGCCTTCCACAGTCTTTAGAAGAAATCTGGGGGTGTTGGTTTTCTCGTTTACAGGAATACTATTTATTATATCAAATGAGATAGCTGCAAAAGGCTATGTAAAAATAAGGTGTTAACAGTAGCGACTTTATTTTTAGTCACCTGTGAAGGAAGTGGGAATTTTAGAGCAGAGTTGTAAGAGTGTGTGCTCTTCCATTTACCTAACACTTTTCATGAACTGGGCACTTTCTTTAGTAACACAGCAGCTCATTTGATCGCTGCAGGATTACCCAGGTAAGCGCTGTGCCCCCGATTCTCAGATGCGGTGCAGAGACTCGCCCAAAGCCATGGGTTTTGTGTGAAGCAGCTGGACGATCTCGAGTCGGGTGTCCTGGGATTGACCCCATGTTGGGCTTCCTGCTCAGCGGGGAGTCTGCTTCTCTCTCTCTCTCTCTCTCTCTCTCTCCCTCCCTCTGCCCTTCCCCTGCTCATGCTCGCTCTCTCGTGCACTCTCTCTCTTAAATACAGAAAATGTTAAAAAAAAAAAGTCTTTAAAAAATAACATAAAAATATAAGCCAAAAAATAGTACTCAGTGCAAGATTTGAGGTATGCCAAGTCACCCCACCTGTCTAGCGCTGAGCCATGACAGCTGTACTGGGATGTCTGAACTTGAATGGGGTCTGAGGACTAGATGGTACTTCTAGTACTAGAAGTACTAGAAGTAAGTACTAGTAAGTACTAGAAGTACTTACAGTACTTCTGTAAGCTTGGTTTGGGTACTTTACTGTAGTTATGCAGGAGAAAGTTCCTGTTTGTAGGAAATACACACTACGACACTGGGGGGTTAGGTTAAGAGTCCTTCGTGCTGTATTGCCAGGACTGGGAGGCAGCCTGGGCTAGTGTGCAAGGACATAGAAGGGGAAGTGGCAGGCAGCCCTCAGGGTTGATGAGTTCAGGGAGAAGGAGGCGTCAGTAGACAGAATTGTGCGGTGAAGAACAGGATGTAAGAACATAACGTGACTGGTCAGAGCAGCCCTGGAGCTCACACCGAAGGCTGTCTCCACCATATGGCACCCAAGCCAGTCACTGAGGGTAGGAGGGTGGGGGCGCTTCAGGGTGGAATAGCAATCCGTACGCACTTCACACTTGCCAAGGGCCAAGGTGCTATGTTGTCCCCAAGAGCACACGGCTGTTGAGGTGTGTGGGCATGAGGGAAGCAGCCTCGGGACCTTCCTTATGAAACAGTGAACAAGAGCAGCGATACGGGACATGCTGGGAAAAAGGAGCCCCACACTCACAGCAGCTACTCTTTACATCCACGACAATCTACCCAGTGAGTACTGGGTGAGGCTCAGATGGATAAAATGGAAAACTCTAATGAAGGACACAAAAAGAAGACCTAAATATTCCTGTATGGGATGGGAAAAAAAGAAATACTGCAAAGTATTCCCCCCAATTCTGTAACATTTCCCCTACATTTATTTATAAACTCAATGGATTCCCAATTAAAATAAATGCAGCATTTTAAAAAAGTAAGGTTAACAAGCTGATCTTGCATTTCATATGGAAAAGGAAATACAAAGGGGCGCCTGGGTGGCTCAGTGGGTTAAGCATCTGCCTGCGGCTCAGGTCATGATCTCAGGGTCCTGGGATGGAGGCCCAGGTCAGGCTCCTTGCTCAGTGGGGAGCCTGCTTCTCCCTCTCCCTCTGCCTGCCACTCCCCCTGCTTGTGCTCTCTCTATGTCAAATAAACAAATAAAATCTTAAAAAATAAAAAAAAAAAGGAAAGGAAATACAAAAGAAGAGCCAAGATAATTTTGCAATGGCACCCTATAAGGAACTTCTGGCTCTACTAGCAAGGTATAAAACCAGAAGGTCATAACACAGGAAGTAGAATAGATACACATACTGATACATTTGCAATTATGTTTTGTATGGTGGCATTTTAAATCATGGAGAAAGACAAATCTATTCATGAAATGATATGGGAAAAAGTTAAGTTTAAACTCTTAGCCCTAACACTAAATAGGAAAATCCCAGATAGATTAATCATCAGGAAGTTAAAAAAAAAAAAAGGCAGAATTATAAAGGTATTAGCACATACTCACTATGTTAAAAAAAAATAGTTACATTTATAACACTGAGGCAAAGAAGGATTTGCCAAGCAAAACATAAAACCCAAGAGGCATAGAAGAAATGACAGATTCGACCACAGAAAAATTAAAAATTTCTGTGTGATAAGCCTAAACCCATGAATAGGCTATATTACGAATTTCAACTTAGAGAAAAGTATGACAAATAGCCCAATAGAAAAATGAGTACCGGAAATGATCAGATGGTTCACAGTAGAAATCACAGAGCCAGTAAGTATTCTCAGCCTAAGCAGCAATCAGAGAAATTCCAACAAAAATAAGAGACAACGATTTTAAAGAAATTGGTCCTGGAGATGGTTTTAGACAGTGGCTGCTCTCAGAGAAGGTTGGTGGGATTGCAAATTGCTATCGGAGGATAATTTGTCAATGCCCGTTCACGTGCACTTTCTTACTACTCGGCCTGGCAGTTACGCTTCCAGGAGCCCGTCTACAGCAATGCAGCACCGAGATGCACTGCTTGTAACACGGACAAACTGGAATAGCCTGGAGGTCCTCCTCAGTGCAGGAGGGCCTGCACAAATGTTGGTACATGTCTCTTGCTAAATGTGATGGAACAGGAAAAAATATACAGGATATAATCCAGTTTGTGTTAAAAGCCAAAGGAAAGCATGCACAGGTCTGGATAAATTTGCTTAAGCAGGCATTAGGCAGCGCCCACAATTAGTTCAGTCACTCCGCAGAGGGGACAAGGGTGAGGAGGGGTCTTTCATATTTCACCTGCTGTGTTGATTTACAGGGCATGAATATTTTACAACGAGAATATACCTGTGTTTTAGGATGTGGGAAAACAAGCATTAAGCAGAGAAAATGATAAAATCTTAAAAACTGTAAAAAATAGTAACACTTTAAGATCTACAGTTCCTGATATATTAATATACGCTTATATTCCATAGTGCAGATAAAACAGACATTTACCATTTAAAAATTATAAAAGAAATATGGCATAGGTTCTGTCTCAGTGAACAGTCCTGCCCAGGAAGCTTTGGTAAACTAAGTAATAAAAAAAATCATTATTAGCAGAAATACACCCAGAGTGCAATTAAACTGAAAGCCACAAACACCAGATGTGTGGTAAATCATGCCAGGCAGCATCACTTGTTATCACACACACACCCTCCCTCTCCCTGCCCTGTCTCTCTCTGCAAGCACTGAAGAAACAGGGCGCGAACTGATAGATCAGCTGACCCAACCCAGAGCCATGTGGGGTAGGGTCTGTGCCTGGTAAAGGCCACTGCAGGTGGCACCAGCAGGGAACCAAGTTCTCAAAGCCAGCAGAGCTCAGGGGTGCAAATCTGCCTGGCTGCCTCTGCGGATCCCTCCCTCCCCACATTGGACGGTCTGGGTCTGAGACAGTCTCTTCCGCTATAGCAGATATGGGTGGCCTCCCAGCTAAGTCCCTATTTGTCACTCTGATTCCGCATGTTTGCTCTGAAACCGCTCCATCTCTCTCCTTGCTAAATTGAGCAAATACTCCAAAGGCATGATTTTCAATCCTTGGGTTCCAGTAGTACATCTTGTGAATTCCATTTCCATACCTTGCATGGGAAACCAATTAAGTTCGAGAATTAGAAATCTAAGATATTGGCTCCGACCGGCGATTTGTTTTAGCATGATTTCCCAACAAAGGGCATGTCTTCTCTTACCTGTAGCTCAAAGTTGGCTTGATCCAGAAATTTTTTGTTCAGCATGTCTGCATACTGATTAATCGCTCGCAGGAAGACTCTGAAAGATCAAGAGAAAATTACATAATTACACACTTAGGCTCTGGCACCTTTGTAGGTTTGGCATTTCAATTAGATACAACCCGAGTCTGTCTGGAAAGTGAACTCTCGAAGTCCTGTGAAAAGCTATGAGGTTGTGCCAATAAAAAGCCCAGAGAATTATATGCAGATGTGCTCCAAATTAACCAAGGAAATTAGCACATGCAGAATAAAAGAAAAATAAAGACCAAAATACCAGCATCTGAAAGTAACATATGAAAAGTATCACTAAAAAAAACTAATTTTTTTCTTTTTTTTGTATCATGTTATGTTAGTCACCATACAGTCCATCATTAGTTTTTGATGTAGTGTTCCACGATTCATTGTTTGCGTATAACACCCAGTGCTCCATGCAGTACGTGCCCTCCTTAATACCCATCACCAGACTCACCCATCCCCCCACCCCCCTCCCCTCTAGAACCCTCAGTTTGTTTCTCAGAGTCTGTAGTCTCTCATGGTTCGTCTCCCCCTCTGATTCCCCCCTTCATTTTTCCCTTCCTTCTCCTAATGTCCTCCATGCTATTCCTTCTGTTCCACAAACAAGTGAAACCATATGATAATTGACTTTCTCTGCTTGACTTATTTCACTTAGCACAATCTCCTCCAGTCCCATCCATGTTGATGTAAAAGTTGGGTATTCATCCTTTCTGATGGCTGAGTAATATTCCATTGTATTTATGGACCACATCTTCTTTATCCTAATTTTTAAAAAAAAAAAGGAAAAGGTGCTAATTAAATCCTCTTCCCAAGTCACCATGTCTTCATGGAACATTATTAAACTGGCCTTTGCTTATAGCTGGCTTTTTACGGGTAAGCATTTAAACATGCTGTTATACACCATCTATCGGGAGTGGTCTGGTGACATATTCTGGAGGTATGGCTTACTTTGGTGCCTCTGGAGGTATGGCTTACTTTGGTGTCATTCATCCTCTGTTGGAAATGTCGATTTTGGTAACTAATGACTTGTTCAAATAAAAAAGCTATAGGAGATACGTAAGTGATTTGACAAGAAGGTTAGCAGGAATTTTAATTCATTAATCCATTGATAATGTACAATTTTTAAGCACCCAGAGCAAAATATCACATCCTTCAATACCTGAACTTTTACTTTTCTATGTTGGGATATGTAATTTGAGAGGTTATAAATGACTCCAGAGGACTAACCCTTCCACCAGCTTGTTCATCCTGCAGATTTGTTTTACCGCCCTTGAGAGTGTTCACAATAGTAAAGCTCAGTCCAGATACTTCTCTTTAAGTGACCCTCTCCCTCTGCACAAAGGCAGGATGCAAGGAGAATTAGCATTGGGTCACAGATAATAAACTTAATTACACTTCCCCTGTTTAGACAGCAGGAAGCAGCCAGAAGAGTGTAAGAAAAATCTAGGTTACTTCCCAGGAACCAGGGCTCTCCGAAAGCATGGTCTCTTAGCCATGCATGCCTGGAGAAACTGCCCACCTCAGACTGTCCCAGAGCCCCTGAAGGCCAGGAAGCCTGGGAGGAGGAAGAAAGGGACTCCCTCCTTGGGGCTTTAAGGAGGTCTCGATCCCCACCTCCTGCCCAACACTGCAGCTTCTCACACACTCAGACAGCTCTAAGAAAGGGGGTTTGCAGACAGCATCTCATTAAGGAACCTATGGTTGGATCCGGGGCCGAAACGGGTGTGACAAATGGCCTGTGATAGAGTGTGCCATCTCAGTTGCTGATGAAAACTGTGGCCAGACTTATCTGAATTCTTCCCTGGTGGCATCCAATAGAACCAAAAAGGAGGCATCTGCGTTTTAAGTGACTATCAGTGGAGGGACACGGGGATCCTGGCCTTGTCATATGCCAGGGGCACAGAATGGGCAGCAGCATCCATCAGCCAGAGAGTTGCCAGATATTACAACTATAAGCTGCCCAGTTCAATTTGAAAAGTAGCTCTTATGGCTGAATTTTGGGATTTATTGAGAAAAGCTGAACAAAGGGAGTCTTGACAAATACAGGAACGGGATGAAAATCACTCAATTTAGGACATGTCTTGTATCTATAGCACACCTTGCAAGCCTCATCAGCTCTCCAGGCCTGGGCTGGGGTCTCCTGTGCCAGGTTTAGTCCTCAGAAGTGCAAGATGCAAGCCTAAAGAGAAAATGGTCTGCCTTGCCCCTCTGACCCTTGGCAAGCGTGTTCAGAGAGCATCTGGGAACCTGTACTTGCATTAACCCCAGCAGCCAGAGGAAGTCTCCCGATTGTCAGTGGAGCGAGACCACTCCCTGTCATTAGAGGGTGGAGCTCTCACGCAGCACAAAACCCTGGGCTACTGACCACCCCATGATTTTTCCTTTAGTTTTAGAACTCAGCTTTTGACTAGGGTCCCCTCAGGGTCCTTCTGAGCTTGAAGGAAGAGCCTCCCTCCAGCCCTCTATGACAATAAAGGCAAGTTTACTAGAACATGCATTATTATTACATGGTAATCATTCTGCCTCAAGACAGCACCCAAACAGTTGCAATATGCTACTTCTAATTAAGCTCTGGAACAATTTCAGCCAGTTAAATAAAGATATTTCTCAAAATGACTTTTTTTTTTTTTAAAATATGCCATGCTGAAATAATATGAAAGCCAAATAAAAACTTTTTAATGAACTGACAACTGAGAAAGCAAGGGGCTTAGAGAGATTCTATAATTTAGATTCACTATAAATTTTTTAAAAAGCAAGGACAGAAAGCAAATATCACAGAATGTGAGCTGTAGCAGGATAACTAAAGGGAAGATCAAATGAAGACTGTCATTGGTGCCATCAACAAGGGTGAGCTGCTCAAGCTCAGTGTACCCAGGCCCACACACCTTCTACAGAACCAGCCGGCACACACATAAATTATATATACCCAAGAGCCCACACTTGATGGGATTAAGAACTGAGCAATGCCAAGGCCATCTGAGGATGACTCAATGCTCTAACTAAGGAAAAAGAAGCAAACAGGGGTTAACTTTTACATGAGAACATCTACTATCTGCTATAGTTCATGGGTTATTTTTTAATAAATGTCAAACCAGAGAAAATAAATAAGAAAATCACATCAAAAGCTTTTGCCTAAAAATCTGCTTTCAGTCATAGAGGAACATGGAAAGATCATGAGCTAAGCTGAGCAACTGGACAGCAGGACACCTTCCCAGTCTGAAATGAAGAGAGCAGGCAGGTTTGACACAGTTCAAGATCAAGTCCTTTTTGTCAAGAGGCAACGAGAGGGAGGGCAGTGTGAATGGGCTGGCTCTGCAGCCCTGGTGACTGCTGGAGCTGGGCTCAGGGACAGGGAAGCCCTCCAGACTGTTCCCAAATAATCCTCTCTGCTTATTCACTCATGTGCCTGCAATGCTAAGTCAGGATCCAGCACAGTTTCATATGCCCCCTAGCTGTCAGTCACTGGAATGGATGGATGGATGGATGGATGGATGGATGGATGGATGGATGATGGGTGGGTGGATGTGTAGCCCAGAAGATCAGGCTCTGACCCAAATCAGAGGGCACAGAGAGGCTATAATATTTGGTAGCCCCTGATCTCCGTGGAGTCCTTACATTCTGAGTAGGTTGTCCACTGTGGGGTTCAGCTGTTTTGAATTTCTTGTTAACCAAATTTCTCATTAGGCATTTGGCATTTATGGTTGGGCATTGTTCCCTCATTTTCCTCTCTGTGTCCGGAGCTGGTCCCTCATTCTCCTCTCCACCTCTGGAACTTGTTCCTGATGACAGGAACCTTGTCGTTTACATATCAGGATCCCCCAAAGCATTTAAAAGGACCCCTCGGCACCATGAATATTCTGAAGTGTTCTGATCTAAGGAACCTTTGGCCTCTCCCCGCACTAACAGATCTCTCAGAGCCAGTGGTGTGTCCAGGCCTGGTACCAGGCAAACACAACAAAACAAAAACAAGTAAACAAACAAACCAACCCCGAGCCTGCCCTAATGCAGAGAGAGAATCCACCCTCCCCATTCAACATTACTGTACATAAGCACAGTGTCGACACAATGAAGAGAGGTCACGCCTAATGTTCCCCACAGACCCAGCTCCCAAAAGCACGAGAATGAGATGCTGCAGGGGGTAGAGCCGGTGGGCAGTGGAAGGTGGGAAACAGTACAGACCTGCACTACTTCTACTCTGCCAGAAAAGTGACGGACTCGGGGGAAAAAGATTCATAACTCTGTGAGCCAAACAAGTTACGTCTATTCTCAGCCGGGAGGATTAAGTAATTTCTAAAAACAAAGCCAATGCGCGAGAATGAAATGCTTTCACGGATGCTGTCCCACATGGTCAAAACGATTAAGAAAAAGTGTGAGCCCGTATTTAATAGAGTTATTTTCAATCATTTTTAACCTTTGAATGGCTTTATTTATAACCTAAAATCTTGGAAGATGAAACCAAACACACAAAAAAATAATGTAGAGAGACCTACAGGCAAACTATGTCATCTCAAAAAGATTTAAAAAGCCGTAAGCTCTAGATGCACTTTCTCAAATTATTCAAAACAAATGACTGCAAATTTTATTTTTAATGGCCGCAAGGAGAGGACTTGATCTCATGCTTCTTGGTAACTGATTCCTGGCTCCCCGAAGTCAGTCATCATCTTTACCAATCCTGTTACAATGTTCCCCATTTTTGATCATTTAGGGGTCAGTGTCAGATAGAGTTCATTCCCAAACCTCATACAACCAAAACAAACAAACAAACAAACAAATAGGAAGTTTTCCTGAATTCCTTCTCTTCTACCTGGATACTTAACCACAGTGAGCTCCCACTAGAAACAAAATGCCTACTATAATTCCTAATGCTGTCAGATATGTGACGGATTGTTGTCCACACACCCCCACACACAACCAATTACAGTCTGGATCCACTTCTTTCTATGCATTATCTACCATCTATCCATTATCTCTCTAGCTCTCTTTTTCCTTCCCTATCAATCAATCCAATCAATCAATCTACCTATC